GGGGGACCCTTCCGCCTTGGCTTTCTTCTTCAAAGCTGTGATGTCATAATCGTGGTCACTATTTCAGATGACGATGACTATACAAGTAACATACTATTGCTCAGGTATGACAATGACAGAATATTTATGTCACAAGACAGAGACAGACAAGACAGACAAGCATTTTGTCAAAAAGCAGAATAGACTTGAATAATAATAAGTAAAACGTGCCGACAAAATGAGTTAGTTTAGTTTTAGTAGAGGTTTTACGGCGTTCGCAACTGCATAAGGTCATATGAGCGCCAGAAGATTAGAGGTGTTACAAGAAAGTAACATAAAAAAGAAGAAGGGGAGATAAGGACGATAGATGGTCGATAGGAAAAAAGGAGCAAAATACACCAGAGCTCCCGCCAACCACCCACCAAAATGAGTTACTTCTCGGGTTCAAGCCTCAAGGAAATAGATACATCACGCTTATAGCTGAACTTTTTACAATTTATAAGTATGAGATAATAAAAGACAGTTTATAATTAAAGAATATGGCATCAATAGAAAATCTACAAATTTGACTCTAATGTCGATTTTTTGCCAATATCTCCATTTGTGGATTAACAGAAAGTAACCCATTTTGTCAGCACACCTCACATATACTAGACTGGGCACTGTCACGGCCGCCACTCAACCTTTGCTGTCCATAAAAAACTGCTGCGTTGCTGCGCACCACAGACACTCACATGAAGGGCAGAACACAAGTCTTGCTATTATTAAGTATGTCAATAGCTTTCTCCTATATGCCCTTCGTTTGGTTCTAAACAGAGTCAAAAGGTAAGCTCCACTGAAAACTGGAATAACGTCAGGAGCGCCCTGGTCTTGGATTATATAAACAAGTCACAATGGAAGGCAGTTACAACATTTTCCTCATATGACAATACTCAAAAGATAATAAAACATTTTTTGAAACAGGGTGTCCAGGCGAAATGTTCTGTACTACTGCCTTCCATAGACTTGATCCATCAGTGCATACAAATTTTTTTAATTTAAGCCTCTGCCAATTTCTCGAGGCTGTTTGAGGGAGACCGACACAGCAGTAACGTGACCCTCACCCTCACCTTATCGCCAAATTCCCTGAACACCGGGGGGAGGGGGTGCGATAAAATAGTCTTTAGAAAAAAGAATTGACCTTTATGGGTGTCAGATGCTGGAAGAAGCGGTGCGGATGCTTTATCCTCGTCTCCAGGTGCCACAGCGGAGCTCGGTAAACTCGCAAGTCGTCGAACTGGTCAGTGGTGAGAAGTCGGCAGCCATCAGTCAGACTGAAGTAGGCTGGAAGGGGGGAGCAGGGTGCAGACGTTTTACAAACAGGTCAAGGCCTCATAATACTGTTGTTTGAGTTAAAGGGAAACACACCAACAATACAATGGTATGTTTTATTTTTAGTTATACTACCAGTTTTTACGGCACTTGCAATACAATATGATCAAATAAGTGCCGAAGATTAGAGGTGTTACCAGAGAGTTTACAAACACAAGCAAGAGAGCAAAGAAATAAGACCTAGCAATGACGTCCTCCACTCAACCGTCACCAATGTTTCACAATGACAATTCATTTAGTAGTAAAAGAACCTCACAAACCAAAGAGCGGACTCTAATAGTCAAAGCAGACTTTGTTTTGTTTTAGTAAAAGTTTTTCGGCGCTCGCAACTGCATAAGGTCATATAAGCGCCAAGAGGTGGATGTCAACAGAGAAGTCCAAATGGGGAATCAGGCTTACTCGTCTCACCTCTCTAGTTTCAACAGCACAAAGTCTGCT